CTGTTTTGCCGTCTTTCACTCTGGGAACGTCGCAGCTTCCACCCAAGTTTGATGACTTCACATTAATTAGTCAAGTTGTTTGTTCTCCTGCTGGAGTGTGTGCTAGCTTGCAAAGTGACACCTGCTGTTATTTGATAAGTGAGAGTTCACAGCATTTTACCACTGTTTATTCACTAACAATACTTGTGAGGACCCCTCCTCACATAATGTATTGTCTCACTGACACAATGCTTGTACCTGTAACTAACTGCTAGTTTGCATCTATCTAACTTTTAACTAACCAGAGTTTAATAGTTGTATTTGTACATATGGACTCTTTTTGTGGAGCAGTTTGTGCTCCCGCATGGCAGAGTAATATAAAAATGGATAGGGTAACATGGCAAATATAATAGCTTTCTCCATTTTGGATTCTCCAGTTCTCTGTTCTCTCAAAGGTCAGCAATGTCAAAGTACAACTTGATGTGAAAACACCCTCTGGGTTTACTTTCAGACTGTCCTCTTAAGAAGTTTTTTCTCTAAGCCCAAAGGCAAATTCATGATTTTTGCATCTATGTGGTGTAAATTTTCTCATCTGTGTAGCCCAAAATGTGTGACTGTGTGGGCTGCATCCACTAACTCCCTATACAGAGACTAAAACCGTGATTTGCCTCTCCTGATGGGTTTGTCTGTCAGCGTGTCAGTCCTGAATCAGCTTAATTGTCTGTGCCATAGGCCTCCATTGTTGTTCATAAATGATTAAACACACATCAGTGAAACACACTGCTGCGCTGGGTGACATATTTCTTCATCAGCAAACACCAGACCTGAATGTGAGGAGTTAGCAAAATGTAAACAAAGGTGGGAGCTCGCACCAGATCTCATGCGTGCACAGTTGACTAGGACTCATTCTAACTTCAAGAAATTATAGCTGTGCCAAGCCTTTGGGGCAGCAAAGTTGCGTCTGGGTTTTTGTAATGAGGAAAAAAGCGTCACGCAGTGCAGCAGTGCATTTCCCTGATGTGTTTTTAATTCTTTTTCAACAGTAAACTAAGGTTTATGGCACAGACGAACAAGCTAATCCAGGACTGACAGCTGACTGACACTAACCATGAGTAGAGGCAATTCATTGTTGGTTTTAGTCTCTGTGTGGAGATTGCTGAACATACTATTAATGTAGAAAATGGTAGGCCTTATCCTTGAACCATAGCTGTATAAGATGGAGGATACAGAGAAACAAAGTCATCCTGTTAATAGGGGCAGATCAGAAAACACTTGGAGGACAGTGGACCAACTTTAGAGTAACTCCACTGATTGTTGTGATTCCATTGGACGAAATGATTTTGGCTTGAAATTCTGTGAGACTAAACTTTACCCATTACTAACCTAAAGAGCTATGTCTCCATGTAATTGTAAAGGGTTATTCAAATTAAGTTAGTTCTTTTTTTAATAAAATATTTTAAAGAATTCATTCTGCTTGCTTTTTAGGAGCTCCATGCATCTGTATTGTGCGACTCGAAGGCCTGTCGTCTTGAACTTGTTTATTGTACATTGTAACCTCAAATGTTTAAATTTATATGTCAGGGCTGGGATTAGCAATCTTGTATTTCTTCTTCATTGTCAAATAAACCAGTGAATCTATTTCTCTGCCTAAACCCCAAACCTACCCCATACTTAGCACAAACCTTATAACCTGAACCATGTCCTCAAACGTGCCCTCTACATAGTGAAATGTCCTCACTCTCCAGATAAAACACTTTAAATTGGTCTTCACAAGGATAGAAGCCCAGAAGCAACTAGTACACACAGATATTTTCCACATGTATAACATGACATTTAAGTCAGGTAGGGTTCTTGCTACCTCTTGCTCTCCAGCTCTCACATGATGATGAGACATAATGTACATGCTCCATCTGGCTTTGATGATCCCCTTAAAACAGAAGCATGCATACACACAGGGACACGTGTTCTTTTTCAGCGACGAGGAATGAAAGGTCATGCCTCAAGTTAATTGGGCTCTTTAACCTTCAGGTCTGGAGGAGCTTTCCTTTCCTCTTCTTGCTCTATGTCTTCCTTTCTATCTCTCCCTCCACACATCACATATACAGCGAACACGTGCAAACTTTAGGTATATTCACAGTATCGTTGATCCTAAAGCCGCAATCAGCTGTAATCTTTCAGATAAAAGAAAAAGCATGCAAGTCAGTGAATTACCCCAAGAACACAGACTACCTTTGCACAGAATGCTCTGTACGAGTGTGGGTTGTTTTTTTTAAAACATCTTTTTGTTAAGCTGCTCATTTACTTTCAAAATTTTACTCTGCACACTTGTGGGGAGAGCAGAGGGCAGCTGAATTTAAATATCACTTTCCACTTTACTGCGTGTTTATTTCATATCTATCTCATACAGGTTCATACCAAGGATTTTAGAAATCCCGAGGTCGCCAGTCGATCCAATGCCCCCAGACATTTCAACATTACTGTTTGGATTTTTCTAGTATTATTTTTGAATTTCCTGTTCAATACAAGTATGTTAAGTATTATTTCATTGGAGCTAGCTGAACACCTCACAACATTGTCTCTGTTGTAATAATGGCAACTACTGTATGATCAAAACATTATAAAGAAACACTCCTGACAGTCACCGTGTCATTGGTACTGTTGGAGCCCTATTGAATTCGGAGTCCTCCAAGTCCAACGTGAACTTTGGGCAGAAATCCTTAGAGGCAGTTGACAAAGGTCGATCAGACTTCATGTTGTACAGCAATGATACTTATTTTAAAGCTGTCATTCTAAGAGATAATCTACAATACTGAAGTCTCCACATTTGAACATTTTTGAAGATTTGGTGCTACTTGTGCAAACGTTTAAGCTCAATGACACCTTTCACACTGTTTTTCATGGTTTTTTTTCTGCTGTCATGGGGCTTTATTCAGTCATTCTAGAACGATATGACTGGTCCCTTTCCATCATAGAGACATTTTCCCACTAACCCTCAGTGATCTCTTTTCAGAGGACCACTTTAAAATAATAGCAACTGAAAAATGAAGGGAAAGGTTAAGAAATGGACTACTTTACCAGACTACTTTGTTTTCAGGCACCAGGCTTTTAACTTCAGCTACTTTGTTTTCAGGCACCAGGCTTTTCTTTAACTTCAAAGCTCTAAAGGTATTTCTCCAGTTGGCACACAGTATCTGCAAACCTATCTCCCTCCTGTTTCTATGCTACTGTGATGCCACGGTCCATGCCAATACCCACATACAGTATGTGGTGCTTACCAGTAGTCAGGGGCCCTCTTGTCTGATTTATTTACAGGCAACTGCCACTGTGCCCAAGTGCTAATTAAGACTGAAAGCATGTGGAGGTTTATCAGAGGTCACTGAGACACGTTTGATTAATGAGGGCATCCTGTGGCTCGTGCATATGGATCAGTCTAACTCAGGTGCTTTGTCAGTTTTATTTAATTTCTGCTGATAAATAGGTACAACCATACAGTGGGAAAAAAAACACTTTCAGGAGCTGGTATGAGTAATACACTGATGGGCAATGGGCTAGTCCCTGTATTTCTCTCTAGTGTGATGATGCTATCCATGGTGATAATTGCAGCTACTGTGTTTTTCAGTTGTACCATTGTGGTGCTAATACATTTACCACAACAGGATGGTTGCCCTCTATCGCCCTTCCTGGACCTAGAACTGAGCTTTTATTTATTTTCAGGATCTTATTTTTGATTTTTGATGACCAGGGTTCTGACACACAGATTTCAACCAGTGTACTTCTTTACAGTGGTATGAAGCTATTCATGGTGCTGATATACTCACCACAACAGGTTTATCACCTCACGCCAATGCTGATCTAGAGTGGAAGTGAACTTTAATTTCCTGCTACAATACCTGAACCCATCATGTCCAAACAAAGTATTGGGTTTCAAGTAGGATCTGAACTGTTTCTCTTTCTCTCATCAAGGCACAGTTTCCAGTGGGGAGAATGAAAGAAGAATTGGTCTCAACTTTGGCAGTCAGGTTTAATTGACTACAGATACTGTACTTTACTGTACTGTAAGGTTAGACCATTGCAGAGCCCTTTCTTTCCTTGAGTAAAGAAAATTTTATTCTATCTTTCACTGTTCATGGTGCTGACAGTGTGGCAGTTCTCTGCAACACCCTGGCATTATCTGTGGCTCTAACACACTTATCAGAACATAAGTAAAGATACTGACATAGAACTGAAAATGTATTTAGCCCTGAGCAGATTTCTGCTGCCCTGAGTCTGACAAAGTATTTGGTCCAGGCAGTTTCTCTCTCTGAAACATGGCCAGTCAATTACACCCATGTATGTCATATGCTGCAAGCAGATATCCAGTGCTAATAGCAAATAAAGAGTCTAGCAAATGCCTGATGATCTAACCATAGTGTATAACATATGTGTCTCAAGTTGGGCTGTAACAATCAGGTTTATTCAGGTTGAGTCTTAAACATGCTGGTACAAGTCAGGGCACTAGCCTT